TTACCTGCCTAAAAAAATCCATTTTATGTTAAGTTCGAATTTATCCAAAATTTAGATTTCAATGAATAGTACATGTATATTTGAATATTCGAGATAATGATTTGACTAAATTGAATATTAAAAGATTTAAGGCCATACAAAGTTAATTTTGGTCTATGTCAAAGTCCCAAAGTCTAAATCCTAAAATTTAGTTGTCGCGTCGCGTGATGTCGGGTTCCAGTATTCAAATTGCAATCATTATTAGCGTTAGGGGTTTGAATCAGTGTTAATTTTTCAATTAAAATTTACTGTGCGGCAAATAAAAAAAAGCACGAGAAACTATTTGCAACTGTGCGCACTACTTGCAAAATGCCAATTTTTCTGTGCGGCATCCGCACACCTATTTAAAAGAAAGTGTTCGCAAAATTTTGTTTCTGTGTGCTGCGACAACTAAATTTCAGGATTTTGACATAGACCCGTTAATTTTTTGGTTCTCATAACATAAAATTTTAAAAATGACCCGGCAACTCGGCTTTTAATTTTATTTTCAAAAATTTTTATATACAAAAAACATATGCTGTAAAAATTTTTTATAGACATCTAAAAAAGTCCACCCGGGTAGTAAATATAGTCAAAATTTTTTTCAAAGTTTTACAGAATTTGACCCGGCCGGGTTATGAGAACCAATTTATTAAGTTTATATATATATTATTTATATCTGTATATAGCGTAATATACTTTTTTAAATAAATTAAGATTATATATATATTTAAAAAAGAAAGGGTACAAAAATAACGCACGTTTACAAGAGGAATTCATAATAAACTAAATCCATATCATACGTTAACATCAAAACTAGGTATATTAATGATCCAACCTTTTTTAAAAAACACGAATTAAACGTCTTCCAAAGAAATGAGATGAGAAAAAAAAACTATAATATGCTAATCTTTTTAAAACTTCAAAGGGTATGGATTTAAATGGCGCATCAGCTTCGACTAGGGTGTTCTCAAGCCTCATTCTCGACGTGATTAGCTAGTGATCGCAATGGTGCTCAGGCAGACATTCGTATGATTGGCTGTTTAAATCAATTTAATTTTACATTATTTATACAGTTTAAAGTATTTTTTCAAAAAAAAGAAAAATACTACGAATAAACAGTTTTATTAGGGTCGTAGAACTTCACTATTATCATAAAAATAATCAAAATTCTTTTTTGTTTTAGAAAAGTTAGCATAATAACGACTTCTTAAAATTAGGTTATCGCCGTGCTAACTTCTCTAAAACAAAAAAGAAATTTGATTATTTTTAATAGTGGAGTTCTACAACCCTACTAAAACTTTCTATATCCTTCTTTTTTGTTTATTCATAGTAGTTTTCTTTTTTTTAAAAAGTACTTTAAACTGAATTGATTTAAGTCTGCCTATGAGCTCAGGCATAATTAATTATATTTACATAAAATTTTTTGTCGACAATTCGAATAAGCAAATAATGACGCAATTTGAGTTTTCTCAAACATTGTCTTCGATGACGCTCGTTTATCGCGGTTTGCAAAATTGTGTGACCCCTATGATTAATTTTTATTATTGTGATTGCAATCACGATTGCTAAAGCCGGCCAATTTATCATAGATCTGGGCTTGAAACAAACTCAGATTTATGATAAATTGGCTGGCTTTAGCAATCTCATAATCATAGGGTCTCTGTAAACAGCAATAATATAATGCAATTGGTACTTGAGCGATTCTTATTATTCTGATATTGTATTATCAAATATCATCATCAAAAAATTAATAAACCAAAAAATAAAGGAAAAAAGAAAGTCATTCAACAAGTAGCGAATACTTATAACCTTCAAAAATAAGCTAGTGAAGCAATGACTTTGGCTGTTCCTATTGCTCCATTTATCGATTTTACTGTTATTTCAGCCACAATATCTGACCCTCCATATTTATGAATCCGCTTACTTTAAATAAAGCCACTGCCGAATATAAAGAAGTCATATAAATAAAGGCCAAGAGATGGCGGGCTTCTTCATGTTTTCTATTTCTATGAAAACTTTTAGAATAAGGAGTAAAATAATAGTTCGTTGACGTCGAAAATGAGGATCCATGACTAAGTTATTTGAGCGACCTCTTTGAATACTCAAAATTTTCCAAGCTAGAGATAAAAAAAGGTCTTTTGTAAAATGGTTGTAGATTGAAACGACAAACTCATCTATTTTTTTTACTAATAAAAATAATTTGAATTACGTAATAATCTTATAATGATAAACACAATTAACTCGCTTAAAATATTTTCTGCTAAGTAAAATTTATCTCCCGACACTTTTTGACCCATCGATTAAGGCGCTTGAAAACGCCCTAGAATCCCACCTATTGCGATGAACTTTTTCGCACTAATCAAGTCATTACTAACTTTGGTATTATTCAAACATCATATTAATGCTGCAAAATGCTGTTATGTTTATTGTAGTATTCTATACATTGATCGCATTAATTTATTATCATCAAATTGAAGATCAAAAGCAAAATCGTCTGGAGCTCCCGTTCTATTAAATCAAAATGTCATATTTTGATTTAAAATCATACCAATTCCAACACCGGTTGTTTAGGTGATGAGATCTTGAACGGTTACTGTTCAAATATCTAATCGAGATCGATTTAGTACTGTATTGATGTTCAATTGAATAGTCATGTTCGACTTCTCTCGCTTAACTAGTTAAATTCGATCTTGTTACAAAATTAAACTATGGTTTTTTCTGGTGTTTCTATTTATTGAATCTTTTCATCAAGTACCGCAATTCTTATTGGAAGTTATTTTTTAAAGCTTCCACTTAGATACGTTCGGCCGCTTCTTGCAAATTTTGGACTTGATTGTGCAAGGCGGCCAATTGAAAAGGAAAAGCTTTGATTTCCGAGGAGTCTCTTAATAATTATTCTTATTATAATTATTATTATTAGAAGCAAGCCTGTAATAAACCATAATTGCTTTTCCAAAAGTTTAAAATTTGAAATAAACATAATTTTGTTTTGAATTTTTCTCACATTGCACCTGATTCTGATTTTTATACATAATTGGCCAAATTGATGTAGGAAAATTCCCTGGCACTGTTAGTTAAAGAAAATCCAAATAGATACGAACTTTTTAAATATTATTTAAAGTCCATCGTAATCATCAACTGGTTTGTAATGATGCTATAGTCATACTAATTGCTTGTTTAGCGGCCAATCTTTTAGGCAAAAATGGTGATACAATTAAAATTATCAAACCAGTACTGATTTTTATATGTTGATTATAAGTCCCCGGCCATAATGTTTATGATAGCATTAATCATACAATAATTGTTTACAAAAATTCCATAACAATATACAAATATCTTGAGCTCATTTCTGTTTGTAAATGATGTATCTTTGTTAAAATTTACCTTCGTTAAAATTTTTTTAGATTTCGGCCTCACATTACAATCAATTGCTATCACCTTATTGTTATTCGATTGCATATTTGCAAATGATGATATAGCAAATTTTGATACGTCAAACAAAAAAATTATGAAATACAGTAATATATTTATATTTAATCTTGATTAAAGAATCAATCGCGCAATCGGACGACAATGTAGGTTATTGCAATTGATCGTAATTTGAGCTGCGATCTATGAAATTTTGGTCAAAAGATACATTATTTTGCAATAAGTATATTATTTATTTGACTATTTACAATTGCAATTTATCTTCTACTTGTGGTAAAATCTAATATACTTGTTCTAGTAAAGCTTGAATCTCTTAAATCATAATTGTGTACTGGGTTTATGTTTTGTAGATTGGTATAAAGTTTGATAGTCCAAGATCAATTATATTGTTGGGCTTTCTTCATTAATACCACGGTTATACTGTATCTTACCCTGATAGAATTCATAGCAATATCAAGCAGTTCTTTATGAGTTAAATGGTTACCATCTTTGAGTCTTATCTGATGATCTTTCACAACGTCGCGAGCGGAACTATTTCCCATTTGTACGAAAATCCTAAAATTGTTAGTACGTGACTTACAACTAACAAATTATACCTTATTTCTTATGATTTTCGCCGGAGGCATGACTATGGTGATTAAGTCATATAATTAAAGGGAATTATCATGAGTTAGTATTGGCCTTTTCATTCCAACATTGTAAATTTAAATATTTTAAGTTAATAATCTTGGTATTTATTATAAGGTTTTTTGAAATTTTATTCGTGGCTTTGTATTGTTAGATGAACACTTTCATTTATTAAAGTTTCTATAATTTCACTTTTTGATCTGTCTATATTGCTATATTGACAGTAATTCTATAAAAGGACTTTCTAACCTATGAGCATGCCATAGTCATGTGATACATATGCCATATTAGCAAAATTTTTATAATGATACTGGTACGTAGCAGTTAGTAAATTTTTTAATTTTAAAAAATTATCATATAATGTTCTAACTTTACAAGACAAAAAATACATCAAAATACGTATTCTTTGTTTTATTTATACTGTATTTCTGTGTATAAATGCACGTATATACCTTCCAACAAGTATTTATGTACGTGAATAAAATTTGTGGGTTTACTTTATAAACAAAACCCTAAAAAAGTCATTATAAACATTTCTCTTTTGGTTTAACTCAAGTCGATCAATTGACTATAATAATTATTGAATAAATTTGAGTGCAAAATTTATTCTGTTAACCGAGGTGGTAATAGTTTCGATATTCACACTGATGATGAAAATAGGCTTTGTGCCTCAAGGAGCCACTATTTGTGTTGGTTTTGCATGGCAAGAACTTTCATATCGATATTTCAAAATAAATTGGATAAGATCGTAACTGAAAATGGCTTTTGTCATGAAAACAACTTTTGAAATTCAACCCCAAAAAGAAAAGACTTAAAAAATAGTAGAATCAACTTAATGAACTCAAATCTATTGTATATATATATATTTATTTATTTTATTTTACTTCTTATAAATTCTTTTATTTAATCTTTAGGATTCTAATTCTCACGGTGAGTCTCTTAAAATGGCTAACAAACCGGAGTTACAGCCGACGCAATGGATGTAGCAAAAAAGTAACACCTTGTTAACTATAGCTAAAACCTGCTGGAACAGTCGGTGACCACGAAAAAATAAACAAATACAGAAATATGGCAAGAAAAATACGCAAATATGGCTCATTATTTTACGTCGTATTGGCATTTCTTATTACTAATCAATCACTAATTTGGAAAAATCAAGCTTCGAATTTTAGAACATCTTAAGAATCCTGGATCTGCTACACATCCTTCTTATTAACATAAAAATATTTATTACTGTCAACACCAAAAGTAATTTTTTACTACTTGCTCGTACATCAGCTGGTTTTTCGTTAAAACAATTGCTACAAGCACGGTGGTCATTATTATTTGCCATGAATGTACTACAACAGGCAGGTTGCGATGATAATGCTACAGACATAACGTAACGAAACGTAACTGAAGTAGCACCGCCACAAAAATGCCTGCATCTTTATTTATCGTTATTCGCTGCTGTAGCTCGTCCAAAATTTAAGCTGCGGTTCCATCGACCTGAGTCGGCTCGGCACCATTATGCGGCTATGGCTAATAATTAATAGTAGAATTTACAATATAGGTTTTTATATCAATTAAAAATCCTAAATCGACAAATATGTAAAATACTACTCATGATATCTTGTTCCTAAAGCATAAACTTCGAATGTTAAATTTATAGAATACACAATTACCTCATATTAAACTGTATAAAAAATAAAATAAAATAAAATGTTCATTATTTTTTATAGCAGCTGAATCTGCCATATCAGAGATAAGCTGTAGAGCGTATTATTAACCAACGAAGTATCAGTTTGATGTCTTTGATGTCTTTGAAGTGTCATAAAAAAGATTTGTTAGAGGAGCTTCTGCGTGAATCTCGATGAATTTTTGAAAATAATTACGAGAAGCTTCGTAATAACACTTAGAGTATCTTGCCAATTCAACTATATAAATATGAATCAAGCAAAAAAGATTTTCAATTCAACCGTAGAAATGATTGTAAAAAAGATTTATTTTCTAGTAATTTCTCATATTTGGAATCTTTGTTTCAATTATACCCGTTACAAATTCAATGGGACTTCAGTATCATTGAACGTTTTCATCCACAAATTCGTCGTTTCGACTTCATATTAACTCGTGTGTAATTAGTTTCAGATGGCTATGAGTACCATTCTTGTCGCGAATGGCTAATATCCTGGTTTTATTATAAAGGAGGATCAACCACAATACATTTCACGGAACTTTCAAATAAGCTCTACATGATATATAGTGTTCTCATAACGACTCAATGTGGAATTCTTTATCAGGTTTCTTTCATGTATGATTTTAGCATAGGAATCTGAGTGGATCCTGTTGGCGGGTTACCAAATTTCATATTTATTTTGAAAAAAAAAAGGTATTCGCATTTTCTGGCTCAGCATATTGATTGCCTAAGAGGATCTTTCATCATTCACAATCTGGATGACCTTAACTTGAACGAATGTGATATATGACTACATAATTGAATTAACATCACTGGTTAACTAGCAAAATATTATTCGAACTTTTAGTTTCGGGTTACGCTAAAGCCAATGTCAATAATTATTAAACTTATCCATTTTCAACATAATAATCTCATATTTCCTGTACTTGACTCTTATTAGCGAAAAAGGTCAATATAAATTGCTAGTAGGATCTTAAACTCCGAATTAGCTGTGTATATAAGGTTTTCAAATAATAAATACAAGGTAAGCATGATGATAAAAACGAATTACATTCGAGACCAATATTATTCACAATGTACGTACGTTAATGAGTAGGTTAGTCATACCATAAAAATGTCGCGATCACTGACCACTTCCGACCCGATAATTCAAATTACGCATTTGGGTCATTTGCTAGGAAAATCGCTGTTTGATACTTGATTTCAAACGGTGGCAAATGACCCATTTGAATTATCGGGTCGGAAATTGACAGCGATCACGAGACCGCAACATTTTTATGACGTGACTAACTTACCTTATTTAATGTAACCTCGATTTTGATTGAGATCGACTAAATTTTACGTAATTTTTTGGCCGAAATTCCTTTGCATTGAAGCAGTATCGTAAGGCGAATAGTATACAAAAGAAGATTGCTAAAAGGAAAAGAAAATGAGTTTTGTAATGAACTGCCGGAGAATAAAAAAATCAGGATAATTCTTATTAATAAATCAATTTTTCCTTCATATATGTGTCCCAGTGGAAGTTCGCGAGAATCAAGCGTCCTCTTCAAACATAGTCTCTCTTGATCCGGGAGTGCGCACTTTCATAACCTTTTATGACCCGGTGTGCGGGTGGTGCAAACATGATTTAGTCGTATTATGCGTCTCTGTAAGCGACAGGACAAATTTCAACATGATCTATCCGTGAAGCTTGGTAGGAATTATAAGCGAACGAGGTACCTCTTATGCAAAAAGATAATTGATGAGATTCATTATAAGCTAGCCAAATGCCTTGTGATAATTATCGAACCGTGCCTCTTCCCATTTTCGAAGCCTCCGAGATGCGCTCGAACTATGCACCTGGTCACACCACCGATTCAAGAAATTCTTACAATATAATCTCGCGAGTACAAAAACCGGATTGTCATTTGTAACGAGAGTTATACTTCCAAAACTTGTGGTATCTGCGGATGGATCGTCAACGTCTGGCGGAAAAGATCTTCGCCTGCGTTTTGTGTGGTACAACGGTGCCAGAAACACCCTCTTGCGATTCCTGTCCGAGTCGAATCCTGCAGGACTCGACGTTAGGGACTTGACCCCGGTCGTTCGTTAACCATAGAGACGACTTTATGATTAAAGTTTACTAGCTTTATTTATAAGTATATATTGGGTTTAACACTGCAGCCATATCCGGAAGGTGAGTGGATCCGAGATATTCCATTGTCCATTCAAGAACCTAACAGGATCTTACAATACATTTCCATATTTGAACGTGATCAGAAATGTGAGGTTTGATAACCGTAAGGGATGCATGAGTTAAAGTTTCCAAACATCACCGCATATTTTAATAATCGTGCATAGGTTCTGTATAAATTTAGGATAGCAGTTTCACCAAGTCTCCTCCATTTGGTATATTAACATTCGCTTTTTCCATCCAAGTGGTTTCTAATTTTTATTCTTGTACGTACGTGCGTACGTTGATGATTATTGACCTTGAATTATCTTTCAATTATTCTCACAATAATGACTTTCAGCAAAAAAAATTTGACTCCAAAAGAATGTATGTATTTCATATCTATTTGAAAATTTATTATAAACTCTTCACAAAACTTATATTTTATAAACTTTTATGTCATTATTTTATCAGTAATTCATGAATATATTAAAGGAACAAAATGGAAAGATGATAAATTATTAGTTCAGCAATTAGATTCAATCGATGCTCATTCAAGTGTTCCTAATGTTTCGGTAAGTTTTGTTACTTCTTTATCTTATATATATATATATTACGATTAAATTTCTGTCCTTATAACTACATTTATAAATAAATGCAGACTCTTCATATTCCAAAGTATTCATTTATATATACAAACGTCGGATCAAATGACTCCGATATAATTACATTACCATTATTTATTGTAGTTATTGCCATAGGTTTGGGGATTTGGTTTTTTTATGGTGACTTATTATACATTATATACAGAATGTATATACTAAATGATCTTAGCCCTACCGCCGTTAAGGAAACAGAACAAATTGTGGATTAAGATAGTTTTATTTCATTTCAAGTATCAACGTCTATTATGGACCATTGTGGACCATTGCTGAAAATATTAAAGAAGAGTAATTGTTAACTTACCATGTATATTGTCAAGTAGACTTTTCATCGTTATAAATAATATATTAAAAGGTTTGATATTGCATCACATATTCAAAAAATAAAAAAAGAATTAGCATATAAAAGATACGATTTAATATTTTATAAAAATAGTCTATTAACTCCATAATAATACAGCAAAATTATCTATTTAATATATAACAAATTGTATTATTAATTTGACTTAATAAATAATTACACTGTATGTTTTTACTCTTGTATATTTACTATTAGAAAAATAAGAAATTTAAAAAAGTCTAGATGAAAAAAAATATTTTAAGAGAAAAAAAAAACAAAAAAGGTTAGAAAAGTACTAAAAAAAAGGTAAAAAAAAAACATTTAATAGCTTATTCAAAAGCTTGCAAAATGTTTAACCAATAACGCAAATATAATTTTTCATTTGCTTTTTTTTTTTCTTTTTGTCAAAATGGTTTTTACAATAGTCAGATTTTATTACAGTAATAATTTTTAATTTATTATTAATAGGTGTCGGGGATGGTGCTGAAATTTGAACTATGAAACTTTAAAATTTTTTGGGCGTTTTTCTAGATTTTTTTTTTTTTATGATTGTAAAGAGTATACCGTATCCTGCCGTGAATAAGCACAAACCCTTTGCAATTTTCATAACCAAGTTTCTCATGATCTAGTGATCGGATCTGTATAGTTTTGGTACTATTCGAATCAACTTATCAAAACGATCCGAATAGTACCAAAATTATACAGATCCGATCACTAGATCATGAGAAACTTGGCTATGAAAATTGCAAAAGGTGGGTGCTTATTCACGGCAGGATACGGTAAGTGGTTTTTAGTAGGATTTATATTTTTAAATAGGGACCCTAAATTTCAGCATCATCCCCGACAATAGAGATTGGAATCATTATACATTTAACCGCCTTTACCGTTTATTTATATTATATGTAAGGAATTTATAAACGATTAAAAACTGTTAAATTATTCGCTTAACTGTTTTTTAATTTTATACGATTAATCGTTTAATAATCGTTTAATACCTCACGTAAATATTCACTTTGGGTTTTAGTTTGGCAACACTTATATATTTCCTAACGATTGCATTTTAACAATAAACGATTAAATATACTAATACGGTTATACTATTACGGTTAAGCGGTTAAATGGTCAAATGATTATTATTATATGATTATCAATTGTGATTAATCGCGTAAGTTGTAATTAAGCGACGCGATTAACCACCATCAGCATAATTTGTTGCAGTTCCAATCCTTATTTATTAAAATAGATTTTATATATAACTAGCTAGTATTTTTTCCTAGAACTGGAAGTTTTTATTGATTGTATAAGTTAACATAAATATAAATATAAATCTTTTACATATATTAAGGCCCTTACCCGGGTCAGTAATGGCATATTGTCATTTAAAAATAAATGACACTTGTCATATGACAAGTCATTTTTGTCATAAAAAAATCATTTATTTTTTTATGACTATACTTGTCATTTATAGTTTATATAATTTATAGACTAGCACATGTGAACGTGAACAGCAATGTGAATTTTAGCTAATTTGTCACTCGACCATACAATACATCAAACAATACATCAAACAATACATCAAGCAAATCACTATGAAATACACATATGGGATATCCTGCCTTGCTGTTCACGTGATCACCAGTCATACCTAGAATCGACCACTACTACCCTTATTTGATATCCAACCTGTTCGGTTGGGTTATCATTCACTTACTTGATATCCAGGTTGTTCACCCAGGCTATCAACCCAAATCCAAGCTAAAACTAACTTCCAAATTTGCGCCAAAGCTAGACCTTCGTCAAGCTAACAGCAAAGACAAAAGAGAAAGAACCACTACCTAAACCAACACTTCTTAAATAGCCACTTAACATGAGCTCATACTTACCACTACTCATTCAATTATACTCATCAAACATCATACCATAACTTACCAACTGCCTATTTCATCATTACCTCATTTTCTATCACTTACCCCGTAAAACTGATGTTATGGGCCTGGAAACTGGGTTATGATCTCGTGACAAATGGATGCCTTATGACTTCATTCACGGCATCACATTTGTCACTCAACCATATGATACATCAAACAATACATCAAACAATACATCAAGCAAATCACTATGAAATACACATGGGATCATCAAGAGAATCAAATTGCATTCTCCTTCACCCTGCTCTGCTATGCACATAAAGCGTTGCACATTTCACAATATGCTTATACATCAATTAAATACACTTAAAATCTCATTTTAACTAATGCCCCCTCTTTCATAGTTTTTACTACTCTAAGATAAAGCATAACCATCTTCGACTCTCAACCTCCGATAGTCCTTATCTGTGTTAAAGATATACCACCCCTCATAGCTGCTATTGCACTCCAATTCGCAAACTATGGGATGTGAAATGACCATTAATCTCTGCTCTCTCCATTATACATTTAATAACCACTGAAACTGCTGCTACAGACATTTCCCCTTTTTTATTTGACAAAAACTATGAATCCTCATCTCTAGTAAATGGCCTGACACTTAAATACTTCCTGAGCAGCCTTATTGGACAAATTTTATCTCCTGACAGCTCAACTGGCACGAATCTTCCATTCGCAAATGGATCACTTTTTGCCTTCCTTACTCTAACCCACAACAGCCCTGACCTCCAATTTACATCATTTAATCTCAATTTACACAACTCTCCAGACCTCCGCATCGTACAAAACTCGATTGCTACTAAAGTTAAATCCCTACACCAAATAATCAGGTTAACCTTTCAGGTGGGTCATCTAGATACCGCTTCAAAGCTTCTAAAGAAAAAGGGTCCCGTGGCCACTCTGCTTCACAGTTCTGAGCTCTTACCAACCTAATACCTTTTACTACTTCCTTTATCCTAAAATCTTTCACCGGATTATACAACCCTTCTTCCTTATACATTTTGCTTATAGCACCAAAATAAACTTGAACTTGTAAAGCTAAACCTGCCATTTCCAACCACTCTAGAAAAGCTTTAATTGTATCTATATTAGCTGAACACAGCACCTCTTTCGTCCAACTACAAAATTTAAAAAACACTTGCTAAGCCTTATTTAAATGTAATCTATAACTTCTATTAATAGCCTGAAATGCTAAACCATCTGCACACTCTAGCAACACTTTGATCAGCTTATTTTTGCTGCCAGAAGTATTCATGACAGATTCTTGCATAGCTCTCTCTGTCCCGATGGCCTTGGCATAATAATTTCTATAGGCAGTAGCAACTCTATTACTTCTTTTGGGGCTGCAAGAAACATTGGCCACCAGGGAGCCAAAACCCATACTAGCAAAATCAACAACACCTGCGCTCCGCACTCTCTGCTGTGCGCTAATATCCAATGAATTAACCTGAAAAGTGGGCATGCATAATTTATTTCTGTATCCTAATCCTGTGTAAAACAATCTACTACTTCAGTTCCTGAACAAAAATAGTAGCTGTTGAAATGCCTTTTCTTTGCGTTCAAGTGGTTTGCAAACCGATCTATTGTTGCTGGCCTCCACTTTGCCTCTAACTCCAAAAATAACTGATCGCTCAACTGCCAATCACTTGAGTCCTACACCCTTGTAAGGTAGTCTGCCAGATTTTTCTCGCTTGGCACCAATCTGACCTCAAAGATCCAAATATCATTTCTTGCACAAAACTTCCAAAGGAAACCCACAATATCTTTCTGCCACAGGCACCTTTCTCTATACATTACCGTTCTCAATACTGTTGTGCTGTCCATGAACAAGGTAACCCACAAATGCCTCAATATCATCATGAAAGATTCCAACACTCTTAGAGCTGCTAAACCCTCTAACTGGGCAATTTTTGCTGCTTTGAATGGCCCGGCCAATTTCCAGCTGCTTTGTAATCCAAATAAGTCCCGCACCAACCCACAGTTGATGCATCCACAAAAACTGCTTTTACCTTGGCCGGTTTCCACACCAGCTTGCCATTTTACTTCTCTACATTTTCTATTAACCATTTCACATCCTCTAAAGCTTCGTCCGTCAAAACCACCTCCTTGTCCCACTTGTAAAAAGCCCAATTTGTAGTGTCTATTATTTTGTAGAATTCTATATATTTTATTTGTGCCAGCAAAAAAGCTCGAGCAAAACTCTGAATTTTGCCCGCTAACGATACTAGCTTCCTTGCTAGTATCTTCCGAGAACTCGCCAAAAACTCCAACTCCTTTTGAACCTTTTTTATCTTCTCCTCTGGCACTTTTATTAAACCTTTTACTGTATCCATCACCAACTTATAAATTTTTATTCTTTTAGTTGGCTCCCAACTTCCTTTGTCCAAAGCCCTTACAAACCTACAACTTTCCAAGTTGATTTTTATTACCTCTTTCCTTATATGCAACAATTCCTTCCTAAACGGGCACCCTATCCACACATCGTCAATATGATTTCTATAGCATATTCCTTGTAACCGCCAAGAGCATATCAAAGCTCTCATGATTTTTGAAAATACCCACGGAGCTTGGGACAAACCAAAAGGTAAAACTATGTAATAAAACCATTTTTCTCCCACTCGAAACCCCAAAAAACATTGGGCCCAATCATCAATTAAAATGTGATAATATCCCTCTTTTAGATCCAACACAAATACCTACCAATTTTTCCTAATCGTCCTCAAAAAACCACCTAAACCCTCAAAACGAAACACTTTTCTTGGCAACACCTAATTTAATCATCTTAAATCTATTACCAGACGATACTTTTTCGGGCCTGGTTTTGGCACTAAAAC